CCTTCATTAACAAATATTCACCGACCTCCTACTATGCACCAAGCACTGCCTAAAGCACCAGGAACCCAGGGATGGCCAAAGTATGAGTGCGTGTCTGGTGGGGTCTACAAACAAATAAACATCCAGGCACCAACAAATATACTCCCATGTGCAAGGAGCTCTGATAGCAGTCACGGAGGGCCGAGGAAGCGCAGGAGGGGCACCTAGCCCAGACTTGGGGGTCACGATGGGGGAAGTGAAATGTAAGATGAGACCGAGCGAAGGCAGAGCAAGAGGAAGAAGAGACAGAGGAGTTCCAGGTAGGGGAACAGCACGTGCAAAGTCCAAATGGGAGAGAGAGCATGGGATTTCAGAAGAACCGAGTGGAACTCAGTCTGGCTTAACAAACTGGGATCCCCTTAGCATCTGAAGGGGGTGGGGAGCCGCAGCATCCCTCTGCACCCCCTTTAGGCTGGTTTGGGTAAATTTCATCCGACAGGGCCTTTCTAAGGGGAAGGCCCCGCGCAGAGCATTTTGTGGTGTGGTTGCTCCCCCCCTTTCCTTCAGGACTCATTAAAGTCTCATTCACTGAGCTGTAAAGCGACTTCCTGGGGGAAGGGCGGGGGGTGGGAAGAGGAAAGGGAAGGAAAAGTGTGAAGTTTCTGCACAGCACCGCTGGGTAGCGCTTCAGAGCCCCAGGGCCCCACAGCACTTCCCTCACCGCGCTCCTTTGGGGAGTTAGGATTTATTAAGAGAGACATCTGGTGGGTATTTGTTAGGTGACGTGCGTGCATGACATGAAGAATGAAGGTGGGAGGCAGGAAGGAGGCGGGAGCCTGTCCTTGGCGGCAATTTAGGGGGAAACATCTGTGCTTTCACCCGGAGTCGGGACTAATGCCTTTTGTATTAGGGGCCCCCGGTGCTGGTTTTAATGGGCCGGTTCCCTCTGACCCTCTCTCGATGCACCTGAGCAGGTGCATGCAGGTAGTGAGTCCAGGGCCTGGGGCCTAACCACCGCTCTACACGGCCTACTGGGTTCCCTGCCCAGCCTCATGCCTTCCCAAATTACCTTGCAGGCTCCAAGCGGGCTGGTCGGTCCACCCCGGTGGTCAGCCCGACAGACAGAGGAAGCAGGAAGAGCTGACAGATGAAGAGAAGGAAATTATCAACAGGGTGATCGCCCGGGCTGAGAAAATGGAAGAAATGGAGCAGGAGCGGATCGGGTGAGGCCTGGCGCTTCCCATCTATTGGGGGAGCGGGGGAGGCATGAGGGCCAGGACACTGCTGCTCCGGCGGGAGGCTGGGGCCGGGCGGGGCTGCCTTTGGGCTTTGCCGTCTGTGACCCACCAGGCCACCCGCCGAGGCAGAACCAGAATCCCTGTCCAGTGAGGTTGGAGAGCTGGAGGAGGAGAGAGGAGAACAGAGGAGAGGGTGGGGCGGGGGTCTGGCTGGGGAGGGGGCTTCTCGTCTGGGTGTGTGTGTGTGTTAGAGAAGGGGACTGGGGGATCTTCCGATGGGGAGGAAGGAGATTGTCACCGGAGGCGTGTGTGAGAGCCAATTTCAGCTGCATAGAAATGTGTTCTGGAGACAGTGGCCAAGTAGATGCCAGAACATTTAACTGAGGGCGAGACAAGAGGGGAGAGAGTGCAACAATAGATGCCGAGACAATGTGAAAAAGGGACGGCACAACTGAAACGCATTGTTTAAGAGACCTGATGAAATCAGTTATCTATGGCTGCATTACAAAGCATCCCAAATTTAGTGACTTAAAGCAACAACAGTATATTATTTTTTACGATTCCATAGGTTAAGAATTTAGGCAGGGCTCTGCTGGGCAGGTTTTCTGCTCCACGTGGCATGGGCTGGGGTTGCCCACTCAGCTTCGTTTGGCTGGTGGCTGGGCTGGATTGGAAGGTCCAAGTAGCTTCATGTTCGTGTCTGTGCCTCAGTGTGCTCAGTGTGGTCCGTCTCTTTACTTTTTAAGTAGTCTGGCCTAAGCTCCTTTACATCGCAGCTGAATCCCAACAGAGCAAAGATGGACGTTGCCAGGATTCTTAATAGTTGGGTCGGAGACTGGTAGGGCATTACTCCACCATACTTTATTGGAGAAGGGAAACGGGCCCTATCTGCTTGAATGGGCCCTATCTGCATTAATGGTGCCCATCTTGGGCGACTCTACCACATTATGCATTAAAAGGGAATTTAATATAAGGATTCAGAGCTACCTCAAGGGATCCAAGGGCAGGAACAAAGCCTAGCCTCCTAAAAGTTCTGCTTCACATCCCACATGGTAGAAAATATAGCCATGCTACACCTCCCCAGTCGTTATAGCTCTTCTTAGTCCAAATTCCCAGGGAAGGAACTCTGATTGGCTCAGCTCATCCTGAGTGCCCACCCCTCATCCAATCAGCTGTTGCCAGAAGTGCCAGGCTGCGAGGACACTGAGTGCTTCTCCCGAGTGGGCAGAGGGGGCCTTTGTGAGTTGAACACACACCCATGAAGTGTCCACAGGACCTTTAGACATAGTAAGGCTGGAATCAAACATCTGCTTGGGAAATTGTGTGTTTGCAGTTTTGGGTTTAAAAGTTTTTCCCCCAGTGGTAGGACCCTGTGCATCTTTATATTTCTTTCGGTCCAGAGCTTCTCAAAGGCATTTGCTCACATATCCTGCCTGCGAAGGGACATGCAGCTGGGTGGCTGCCATTCGAGGTCAGTGTTTCTAAACAGATGGGCCCAGAAAAGTAATTAGGATTTGTCATTAACCTTGGTGTCCAGATGCCATGATGGAAGAGGGAGTCAGAGAGACACAACCTGTTGTTGACGGATTCTGTGGGGTTCCTATCACCTCTCCATCTCTGTTCCATCATTCCCTATATTTTTGGCACCGAATCTTTCCAAAATGTGGACAGAGGGAGAAGTGAATAGTAGTGCTTGGAACTTGCGGCATCTCATTAGATGGACGTCTTTCCTGTGGTTTGACACGCCAATAAAGGAGGAACCTCCCATTTTTTTGACCTCAAGTCTTCGGTCTTCTGCGGATAGGTGTCAGGGCTTCTGGGGCATCCTGGTATTATAGACACAGTTATGCGTGTGTCTGTGTGCATTTTTAAGAAGAAATAGTCGTAGATTTCACCAGGTTTGGGGGGAACTCTGAACCCCGATGTTGAAACTACTGAGTAATGCCTCAGTTTTCCCAGGGTTTGGGCCAATGCTCTCTCATTTGCTACAGCCTTAGTACCTTATGGAATCTGTCTGTGGAAGATGAAAGTGGAGATCTTCTTAGTTCCTTAATTAGTCAATGTTTGGCCAAACCCAACTGACCAAGCCTCTCGTGGAACCATTTGAATCTCACGGTGTGAGGCTGGACCATGTGGTCTCCAAGTTCCTCCATCCTCAGCACTATTGACATTTGGGGACAGGTAATTCTTTTTGGTGGGTCTGTCCTATGCATTGTAGGATTTTTAGCAGCATCCCTGGGCTTCATCCACTAGACACCTGTAGTAACCCCCTACCCAGATGTGACAACCAAACATGTCTCCAGGCCTGGCCACATGCCCTCTGCGGGGCAACATCATCCCCTTTGGGGCCCACCGCTCTGGCCTTTTTGTTGGGTGGGCCACAAAAGGACAGTGGAGCCAACCTGAGGATTTTCCTGCCACCATCCTCAGCTTCTAGGGAGGTGATACCAGCCACTCTTATGAAACACTGCGGGCTGACACCTGTACAGAGCTTCGTGTAGTTTCACTTCTGTCATCCTCACAACAGCCTCTGAAGTAGGCTGTGTTGTTATCCCCATTTTATAGATGGGAAACTGAGGCACAGAGAAGTTCAGCAACCTGCCCAGGGTCACACAGTTAATAAGCAATTGCAAACCCAGGCTGGCCCAGGCCCCAGAGTTGAATCTTATCCTGCTGAAAGGCAAACATTCGCTGCCCAGCACTGTGTTCGGGACTTTCGAATGTGTTCCGTTTCCTTTAATCCTCGTGAAGTCCTCGCTGAAAGACAGACTATTGTCTCTGCTTTACAGCTGGGAAAACAGAAGCTCAGAGAGGTTAGGACACTTGCCCAGGGGCACACAGCCGTTACATGGCCAAACCGGACATTGAACTTGAATGTGTCTTTCCACTTCACCCCATTGCCTTTTGGGGTGCAGGCGGGGAAGGCCATTGACAAATGACTTGAGGGATTTAGGGAGGTCAGTCACTTACAGGGTGTCTCAGATATTCACTCGGGGCAGGCGGAGGGTCAGCAAGAGGCCCAGCCGTAAGAGCTGAGGTAAAACAGACTTCATTCTTGTAAAGAGAGTAACAGTGTCTGGGCAGCTAGACCTTGCCTGCAGTCCCACCTCTGCCACTGGTGGCTGAGTGCCTTTGGGACGTGACTTCCCCTTTGTGTGCCTTGGTTTCCCTACCCGTGAAATGGGAATGAAAGCTAGAGCTGATCTCACGGGCTCTGGATGACTTAAGGGCGACACCGCACATACAGTGCTCAGCACAGCGCCTGGTAACCCGACTCTTCCCGGGTTTATGACTCAGCACGTTGCCTGGCAGTGACCACATTAGCTCCCTTGCCTCCAACTCTGACCCCCCCTCCCCAAAGCGCCGAGGCGCCGGCGGGAACCCCATTCACCAATCCATCAAGGGGAGAGATGGGGATCTATGGCTCCCCAGGTGGCGACAGTCATGAACAGCCGTGAGAATGAATGAGTCTGGGATGCTCGCACAGCGCGCCTGCAGCCGAGAGGCCCGGGCATTTCAGGACAGGTTCCCGAGAGGCCTGCTCCGGGGTCTCAGGCGACGCCTGTCAGAGCCGCCACGGCTGCCTCCTGTTTCTGAATTCCGTCCCTGTCCACGGCAGATGGCCCGATCTTAACTTCAGAAAATGCCAAAATTAATAAAGTTAATGGCACTATCCCCCAAATTGGCAATTAGGGTGAGAGCGGAAGCTGCATGATTTTGGAATTGATGGTGTGTGTGGGGG